GTTTTGGTGAATTAGGGGACTGTCCGATGGCAGGAAAAATTAAATTACAGCCACCTGTCAAAGGATGCATGGAGGATGAAGAAGCAGCTTCCCCTGGGAAGCTCAGGTGTAAAGGGGGAAAGAGCAGTAGCAAGAGGAGACAGCGCTGAAGGACGGTTGCTTTCAATCTGGGTGATCTTGAGGACGTTTAATGCCAAAAGGCAGGAACCAGTGCACGGGCAGAAGACACACACAGGAGGGTTGCCTGATTAGGTGAGATCCTGAGAGAGAGAAGATTTAGGATTTGGGATGAGTTCCACTCTCTCCAGCCTGTGCCTGTCTTCCCTGCAGCCAAGATAGCCGACTTGTCCCTGCACCTCTAGCAGTGGCCAGCTAGCCTCCACCGAGTGCCTCCTGAGCCAGAGGGTTCAGTGGCAACCTTGGCAGAGTCTCTGGAGATTCCTGGCTGCCCATCTCTGCCCCTCCTCTCCAGAAGAAATTAACTTCGGACTTCCCTGCTGGCGCAGTGGTTGGGAATCCGCCTGCCAAATGCAGGGGACACGGATTCGATCCCTGGTCCTGGAGGATCCCGCGTGCCACAACTGCTGGGCCTGCGTGCCTGGAGCCCGTGCTCCGCAGCTGGGGAGGCCACCACGGTGGGAGGCCCGCGCACTGCGGCGAGGAGTGGCCCCCGCTCGCCGCAACTAGAGGGGGCCCATGCGCAGCAACGAACACCCAACGCTGGCGAAATAATTAATTAATTAATTTTTAAAAAGAGAGAGAGAGCTCTCCCTCCTTACTAGTATGCAAAAAATTGACTATAATGTTAAAAAAAAAACAAAAACAAGAAACTAACCTCTCGGGTGTGGGGCCAGGGCCCAGTGACTCACTGCTGCCCCCCTCTCCCCATTCAGCTAAGGCTGCCCGGCTGTTTGGAAGTCAGCTTTTCACTTCTCCCAGGTGGACTAGACGGAAAGGAAAGAGTAACCACCTTGTCCTGCTGTCTTTCTTGCCAGTCGATCATCGGGACAACACACCCCGGCATTGTGGACTGCGTGCTGAAGGTGCTGCGCACTATGCACCTGGAAGTCCAGTATGAAGGTAGGGGAGGTGGCCGGGTCTGCTCCAGATGGCACAAGGTGGCCATGAGAACTAGGCAGCTTTGCTCTGAGATGTTTTCTCCTATTCACAAAGAGCCTTATTGAGTGTCCTAGACAGCCTCGGCAGACGGAAGGTGCTGGCTCTGTGCTGATGGGCAAGTTATTCAGAGAACGACAGTCACATTCTGGGCCTGGAATCAGCCACATGCTCTAGCAGTTGTTAGAATGTGCCTGGGTTCAGAGCTGGCTCTGGTTCCCAGACTTATGTGGCATTTCCCCTCCAAACAGAAATCACCCTGAGGACTGTTCTTCTAAGAAACTAGATTGGGTAATGGTAGTATTAATAAGTTCTCATTTATTAAGTATGCCTATGAGCCAGCCACTTTCCATGCGTTGCTCCATTTAATTCTCAAAATAACCACAAGAGTATAGATTCTTGTACATATTAGGTATTCAGATGTTCAAATGAATGAATGGTGGGGGTTGGCATTTTTATGTTTTTCAAGCTAAAGCGCTGAAGCACAGAGAGATTAAGTATGCTTCCCAAAGTTACACAGCTGACCAGATTCAAACCAGATCTGTCTGACTCCAAAGCCTGTGCTTTTAACATGCAGCACATGGCAGGTGTTTCCAGGATGTTATTTCCTTCCCTGCTTTTCCGATGGTTCAGAGAAGGGAGATTCTGTTTTTAACAGGAGAGATTAAGGAAGGGTTCTCTGGGAAGGTGGTATTTGAGTTGAGCCTTGAAAAATGGGAAGGTAGAAAGCAGAGAAGGGCATTCTGGAAAGGGGATGGTGTAAAGGAAGGCCCAGACACAGGGAAGTACAAGATGTGTCTGGGGAGTGGCATGGAGATCAGTTGGTGGAGGTTTGGTAGTGGTCTCAGTCTAGGAAGACCTAGGAAGGTAGGCCAGGACCAGATCATGGAGCACCTTGAATGTCAGATGGAATAGCAGGCCAGAGCCACAGGGAGACTTTAGACTGGAGTTGTTCAGACAACAAAATGGAATGTGCTGATCTAGCAGGATAGAGAGGCCCCAGGAAGAGAGAGGAGGGACAGGACTGGGGAGCACCTGGGTGTGGAGAGTGAGATGGCACATGAAGGGGGAATGGGCCTAGCCGAGGAGGCCAGGGCAGGGAGACCCATAAGGCAGGAAGGGTCTGGGTGGCACTACATATCGGGATTTCTATGCCCAGGATGACAGGCTGAGCCCCAGGTCCAGGAAGCCTAGGAGGGTCAGAGGGAGGAGGCCGGTACCAGGGTTAAGGTATACAAGGGAGACCCTGGGGATCAGCAAAGGCCTGGCGCTCACTCCCAGCCTAGATTGTTTTTTGGAGGCAGTGTTGAGATTGAATGCCCACCTTATCTTTCCTTCAGCAGCACTGTCAACTTTGAATTTGTTTGACCCCTGCAGGGGTACATGGACTCCTGTGTTGGGAAGTAATGCTATGTTGGAATCGGTTACCAGCAGGAGCAGAGCCTCCTAGCTGGGGAGGAGTTGCCAGGTGGAGTGGTAGAGGCACCTAAGTCAAGGTCAGGCCCAGCAGCAGAGAGTTGTTGCTGGCATTGGAGCAAGGGGGTGAGCTGGCGGTGGAATCATGTCAGAAGGCTTAATCAAACAACCCCGAGGAGACTAGATTGGGTGGTGCTGTGACCTCCCTCCCCTCACCCAACTTCCACGTGGCAAAGTGACCATTCTGCCACTTCTCCCCTTAAGCATTTCTTCTCTGAGGGCTTCCCTGACCTGCCGTCACCCCCGCCCAAATGTCAGCCTCCTTCCTTTTTACCATCTTGCTCCCTCCTCCCCGTCAGCAGCTGCCTCCATTGGAGCAGTTATCTCCAGAATGGTAACTTCCCTTTACATAGACTGTGCACAGTTTCCGTGCAGCTCTCATAGTTTTTGTCCTTATACCCCCAGCACAGTCCCCAGCGTATGTTAGGTCCTTGGTAGGTGTTTGTTGAGTGTGTGAGGGAGGGAGGGAGTCCTGCACATGCACACTGTATTAGTGACTACCTGCCTAAATGCCTTCCCCTCTGAGCAGCTTCAGGGCAGGGACAGGGTCTGATTCATCTCTTTTTCCAGCTCAGGGCCTGGCATATAAAGTGTGGTGTGCAGTAGAAGTTTGTTGAATGAATTCATGCAAAAATGGCTTTGCTTCAGTTTCGCTGATGAAGTCCTCCAGAGTTGAACTGGCCCAGCTTCTTCCCATATCAGGCCCAATCTAGAGTCCTGCTGCGTTTATTATGTAACAACTGACTCTGGCAGAGGCAGCAGGAGCATGAATTGTCACTGCCTTTTTGGTTTGATGTCTGCTGGTGTGAAACTGTGCACCTCAAAATAATTTCGGATAAGCCAGACTCGTAACGGGGGTACAAGAAATGTCTGTTGAATGAAAGAATTATTCTTTTTTACCGGGCACTTCAAAATAGTCTTCGTGGGCTTCCCCGGTGGCGCAGTGGTTGAGAGTCCGCCTGCCGATGCAGGGGACACGGGTTCGTGCCCCGGTCCGGGAAGATCCCACATGCCGCCAAGCAGCTGGGCCGGTGAGCCATGGCCGCTGAGCCTGCGCGTCCGGAGCCTGTGCTCCGCAACGGGAGAGGCCACAACAGCGAGAAGCCCGTGTACAGCAAAAAAAAAAAAAAAAAGTAAAATAGTCTTCGCGTCCCTGGGAATATAGAGCATGCATGTGCATTGATCTTCCACCAGGGGGAACTATTTCACACGATTGGTGGAGTGGAAGTTAAGGGCAAGAATATGGTTCTCAGTTTTCACGGCGACTCCTCCAAAGACAAGGGAGGGAAAGTCTGAGAGATCTTAGGTGGGGCCTAACACTGATGACTGGAGAGGATCAGAGATGAATTTCTCTGAGTTTGAGGACACCAAATTGCAAGACCAAGGTGGAGCCCTCCCAGGATGGTGGCAACATCAGGGGGAGCCAGTGATACAGCTGAAGGCACTAAGCTTTATTAGGGTTTGTTTTTTGAAAACAAGTATTAATTGAACATCTGTGGTGTGCCAAATACTATGCCAAGTACTAGGGTTTTGTCTGTGTTTGTTTGTATTTGAGGAGAAAAAGGAATGGTTTGGAAGGAGGAAGTTACGGAGGCCGTGCTCTCTACCCTGCGTGCTGCATGGGGCGGGGGACGACATCCTTCCCTGAGAAGGCTCCAGGGAAAGTGGATTCTCAGGGGGATTCCCGTGAAAACAGGAGGTGGAGAGGTTCGGTGGGCCTGGTGACACATTCCCTCGCAGTGGGCGTCTGTGATGGAGGAGCCAGGAGATGACCTCACCTCCTTTTCCATTGAGACCTTACCCCCTCCAAACCTACCAACCTGCCTGGCCTGTCACCCACCTCCTCTACTCTCTTTCCCATTACAACAGAGTGTCCCTACTGCCGTCACAGGCCACCTCCTTGACCCCAAGTTCCCCTCCAGCTCCTCATTTTTTCATTTTCTTCCATCATATTGGGAATAAAATTTGAAATACCTAGTTTTTTCAGCCCAGATGGCTAAGTGGAAGCTGTGTGTCTTAAGTGACTCTTTACTTTCTGAGAGTTCTTAGGGCCAAGGCACAAGGTTCAGAGGAGGAAAAGGAGAAGGAAGGTAGGAGATGATAAGGCTCTAGAGCAGGGGGGCGGGGGGGGATTCTGACTACTTATTTCTTATAACAAGCCACCCCAGTTTTAGTGTTGTAAAACTATCACTATTTTATTCTCACATATTATGTAGGTCAGGAATTTGAACATGACGCAGCAGAGATGGATTATCTCTGCTCCATGATTCCCGGGGCCTCAGTTGGAAGACAGCTGGGACCACAGCAGGAACTCGAGTGAGGCTGATGAGGATCACTCTTACTGATTTGTCCTTTTGTCTCGGGCTCCAATATGGCTCCATGTGGCACTCTTACTGTTTTGATTTAACATTTTGATAGGTCGTTCTTCATTCATTTTTTTGCATTGATTTTTTAAATTGCATTAAAAAGTATCTATCTTGATTACTGGATTTTGGTCTCTCCCTTAAATTTTGCATCAGAGGCAAATGTTTCACTTGCCTCACCCAAGACCAAGCCTTGAGCAGCACAAGGAGGCTGGGATCTTCTGGGTCTTGAAGGTGGGATTCAGAGCTGGGACTGTGCACTGCAGCACCTACATGTGGCCTTTCCTTGTAGCTTAGGCTTCTCTCAGCTTGGTGTCCGGATTCCAAGAGGAATCCTGACTAAACTTCCAAGATATTCCAGACCGAAGCTGCATAGCCTTTCCTGACCTAGCTTTTTTTTAAAAAATAAATTTATTTATTTTATTTTTGGCTGTGTTAGGTCTTCGTTGCTGTGCACGAGCTTTCTCTAGTTGCAGCGACCGCGGACTACTCTTCGTTGCGGTGCACAGGCTTCTCATTGCAGTGGCTTCTCTTGTTGCGGAGCACAGGCTGTAGGCACACAGGCTCAGTAGTTGTGGCTCACGGACTCTAGAGCACAGGCTCAGTAGTTGTGGTGCAGGGGCTTAGTTGCTCCGCAGCATGTGGGATCTTCCCAGACCAGGGATCGAACCTGTGTCCCCTGCGTTGGCAGGCGGATTCTTAACCACTGTGTCACCAAGGAAGCCCAACCTAGCTTCTTAAGTCACATAGCATCACTTCCTGGGCAGATTCAAAGGAAGCAAGTAGATCCCACATCTTGATGGGAGGGGGTGTCAAATGATTTTGTGGCCAAGTTTTAAAACCACTGCAGTGGGCCGTGTGGGGCACATATGTGTGGTGGCTCCATGTCTGTCTAGGTGGGATAAGCTTCTCTTTCTTCCTTTTTCTCCCCTTTCTCCATATTTTCATGCAGTTTCCCGAAATATGTTTGCCTGGCCAAGCTGGGTTTTATAACATTACATCTCCTCCATACCCACGCAGGGGCCCCTGGAGGAGGGGTGGGTCAGGGAGCCCCCATGTCGAAGGTCATGGGGAAAGCCCTGCCCTTCCAGGTTCCTACAAAAGAGTGGAAGAAGAAACCTGGGA